ATTAGAAAGTCGAGCACAATTTTTCCTCAATATGCAGAGAGAGAGATTCGAACCTAGGCATTTTGAAGTGAAATATCACATGCATAACTATTACGGAAACACTGAACTTGTATAATAATAGTGAACTAATACATATATATATTTTATATATAGAAAAATTGATAACTTTTGTTTTAAAAAATATTTTTTAATTAAAATTACATTCTAGCAATGATCTATCGGTTGAACCTCTAACGGAAGGGTGAGCGACTGCAAGTAGCATTATTCATTTTCAAAAGGTTAAAGACGTTTTGTGCTAAAAAAAAAAGGTTGAGTATGGATTTGTAACAAATTGGAAATATTGGTTATGGAAAGTATCAATTTTCCTAAAAGAAATCATTCCCTATTTGAGCCCTATTTTTCAGAATAAAATTCGTAGCGTGTGTTTGTGTGTTTTTTTTAATATTTGATTAAAAATGAATTTGAAAAAATAAATAAATGAGACTCAAACATAGGCTTAGTTTTTAATCAAAAAGAATGTGAAAATTGTTCATTTGGGTACTTGAGTGCTACAAAGCGAAATCTTAGGCACTGTAGAAATCAAAATAATAGGTTTGTAATAGATGGAAGGTTGAGTTTTATAGTATTTTTGAAATGGTTGAAAATGTTTTTTGCTAAAAAAATATTGATGATAGATCAATAATAAATCGAAAATGTTTGGGGTCAGAAAGTATCAATTTCCCCAATTGAAATCAATCCCTATTTAAGCCCCATTTTAAAAAAAATAAATTTTATGAAAAGTGATTTTTTAAAAAGAAATATTCGATTAAAAATAAATTCGAGGAAAAATAAATTTTAAAGAAATCAAAATTTTAGTAGATATAAAAGTTAAAAAAGTGTTGGTAAAATTAATTGTTTATTTAAATTAAAATCTTGATTTTAATCCCTATCAAACAAGGATTGAAATCTGAACTTAGCCACTGTCAAACAATGGTTGAAATAGAGACTAAGGGCGTGTTCGGTAGAAATTAAAATCGGATTAAAATTGAAAAATTAGTCGTTATTGTTGACTTTTATTAGATGAGTGAGACTCAATAATGACA